GATTTTTAACTTTACCTGAAACTTTTCTATCAAAAAATTGAAAAATATTAAATGTGAAGATGTGCGCGTTAGTTTGTTTAACTTTGACGGTTACGAGGGACGGTTCTCGACGATGGTTTTCAGTTTATTTTACAGCACAAGTACTGACATCGCGTATTTAATTTGAGGACAAACGTAACGAGCATATTGACGTAAAATATAATATTCCCCCTCCCGTGTCTCCGATCCCGATGAAAATACTCCTTGATTCTTTTCCCGCAGGGGGGATGCCGACCCTCCCCAACCACTTTTTTACCCCTAGAAGTGTCACCTATCTATCCATTGATCCACTTCATTTGCATCCTTACAACCTTATTTTCAAGCAAACGATATCGGGCAAAAAGTGAAAAAATACGACGCGGTTTTTTTATCTTTTTAATATAATGATGAAAATTAAATTGTTATTTTTATTAATTGCTGCAAATGTATATTTTACATTTCTGTTAGACAGTATTGAGAGCCGAAAAAGGGAATTTTGTTGAATAATTTCCAGATACATATAACTAAATATATGTAATAATTATTTTTTATTAAAATATTTTTATTTTCATGAAAGGGCATCGATGTTAATATATATCGCGAGATTAAAGCACGAATTTTTAAAATATTCGAGAGGAGTATAAGTTAATTATGTTATAATTGAAACTATGAATAAAAATGCACTTATTAACATCCATTTTTCGATTAATTTAATTTCCATAACAATACTGTTATACGTAGAATTTTATTGCCAGAATAGTAAGCCATGAGATAGGAATTTACAATTTAGCCGCGTTTTTATCTTTTTTAAATTAAGTGTCCGATTATACGGTGGTAAAAATCGATAACTCGATAGCAAAAGGCAGTTACCGATTGACAAATGCGAAGTAACGATTATCTCTTTCCCGTAAATGTGCCTCGTTTATTCGAATATCTGCCATGATTTGCTTGTCTGAATACCGCTAGCAGCGACAGGATCGCATAGCATCGTTAAACTGTTAGACAGTTCCTTGTTATTTGGTCGCGATAATGATACACGACACGCAGTTACAACGTTTAGAAAAAATCCCCCTGAGGCTCTAATCTTGAGAGAAACTTTCTTGACGCAAACACGCCGATGTCGTGGATTTACTAGAGCGGGGTCGGATCCGTTGCGCATATCATCCGATTTAAGGAGAGAGGGTGAGCGAACGATAAACAACGTGAGAAGAAAACTGAGAGAAAGATTGTCGGACGATGTTATTTCTTTCGGATAGCGATAACTTGGAAGTCAAGTGACTGGTCGATCTCATTTGACGCGAGGTGTTAGGTTGACATTTGTATGAATGAAAATCTGAAGTGGGCTTAGTGAACCGGGTAGTTCCGCGCACAATTCCGCTCTCTCTCCGTTTCTCACCTTCTCTCAACCCCCTTAACCTCGGAGGACGCTCTCGGTGAACGAGAATTTTAGTCACCCGACGCAGGAGTGTCGATTCAAGACGAATGGGGGGAGAGAGAGAGAGAGAGAGAGAGAGAGAAGAAGAAAGAGACAGACAATCGTACAAACAGCCAAAGCGTCTTTTGATCTGAAAGAGAAATTGTCGGAAATAAAATTTAAAAATGAGCAGTATGCAGTGAGGCACAGCTGTTTAGCGGGAGGGACAAATATCAGATAAGGCGAAGAGTTACTGGAAGAAGACAAGACTACGATAAATATCGAATTCCGATATAGGGAAAGAGGGAGAGAAAGAGAGAGAGAGAGGAAGTTAGATTTGCACACGGTTTTGGAGGGTTGCTGGCGAATATTGATCCTCGACGCGCGGGAGTGAAAGCTGGGCCTGGAAACCCTACGGGCTGCGAGATCCGCCTGCCCTTTGCGTTGTTGGTTATAATGCGGTTCATCAACGTGAGCGAAATTCGAAACGTCGCGGAAAATGCTCGCTACGCGAGCACCGCAAGTGTTGTAATACAAATCGTCCATCATGATTATCGTATTATTGACGAGCTGGTAGATGCGTGTACGGGCGACGTAAAGCACGCAACCCGCGCGGTGTTATTGTCAATCTAATTATGCGCGTACGCGGACAGATCACGAGAGTATGATTAACATGCGATACATGTACACAACACGGTCCCCGAAGGACACCAGTTTGCGGAAACTTGGCCACCGCAAAAACAAAGTTAATATTCGTCAGATGAGTGCTCGCCAGACGACGAAGACTGGGTTATCTTCGCTGAAACTTTAAAGCGTACCTGCGGTTCAAGTTAATCTATCATACACCGCGAACGGATGCAGTAACAAAATAATACGCGAAATATCACGCGACGTCTCGTTGCGAAATTTCTCCATTCTCAATTGTGCTATAAATATAGAATGTCGATATTTAATAAATAGATGCATAGGAAATATATATTATCTCAACAACTCGGTAATTGCATAATAGTGATATAACATCTAAGTTTTCATATCGTTTGAAAATGTACTACAATTATACTCATTGATCTTTATATAACGATTACATAATCTTGTTATTTAACAATACGTTTGACATAAATTTCTTTAATATAAATTTTTATAGGGATATATAATTTTACCCTGTCTGCTGTTTTTAATATACATTGCAGTTTGCGATAACAATTCTAAGGCCGACCTTTAAATCGTTATTTTTCAGCAAAATTCTTAGAAACACGGGGTCCACCAAAAAGTTCGATTTCCCAATACGATTCGGTTAGCACGACAAAAGGAAAAACTTGCGACATAGCGGTAGAGTTGTTCAAACTTCGAACTTCATTGGATCGTGAACGGCTCGACGGTGTCCCGATGAAAAATGTATCTCCGAAAAAAGAGGAAGTACCTCGATCACACGCTCTCGTGGGGGGATATTTCTTACATAACTTCGCTTCTCAAACGTCAGAGCTTACGAAAGAAGTTTTACGAATATCGCAAAGAAAATTATTCCTCATTTAGATTTAATATTAGATTTAGTTTAATATTAGATTAATATTAGATAGTTCGGTCGCGATATTATTACGAGCAAGCCAATGCGGAGGCAATAGAAATGGCGTTCTCTGGAATAACGTAGAGATCTAATAATCTAATAACAAGGAATCCCCTATGAACGTAAGAATACAATTCGAGCAATTGCTTCTTAAAGTAAATTACATTCGAGACTCAAATGCTCGAATGTTATTGCCCACAGCATCAGGAACATATCTCCACCTGCCAGAACCTGGCTTTTTCAATTTACCGACAATATACGCGCAACATCCGTGCAGAATCGAATTCCATTTCAACGTCTGTCGCCATACTCCTTCGGAAACGTTTGTATCGTTTCGCTCGTCCCTGCTTCTCAGTGGGTGTCGCTGTTGCAAAGCAACTCATTTTTCCCATGTAGCGTCAGGAGGATAATCTCGCGGCCAACTTGCTGGTAGAGCAGGAGGCTGGCTTTTTCGAAAGAGACCAGCAGGAATACAAGAAAATATCATCTAGAATGGCTATTGTCCTGAAAAGTAGAAATTATTACGCAATATTGCTCGCAGCATAATAAAACGTATTATCGTACATCAGTGTCCGGGTTTACCTTCATTAGGTGAGTACGGTAAATGTTTTGCTTCACGTATGGAAGTCATGCGCGCGTCTTACAAGCAAAATCCAATTCTATCTTACCATGGAGTTCTTACCCCCTCTTTGAGAAATGAGATCTCGCGAAAGAAGAAGAAGCCACGTAAATCCGCTTCTAATGGTCTCGGGTGTATTTTATGTGTCCGTGAGGACGGCGATGCCCGTTTTATTGGGTTTGAGTGAAACCAACTTAAAAATTTAGAGAGAGAGAGAGCGAGAGAGAGACTGATTCTCGAACGCGTTGATGAAGTCAGAGGCTGAAAAACCTCATGAATTATCAACCTCTCAAAAATTGACTGTTCAATTAACGAGACGGATGTCAATAACGGTACAAATAGAGATAACGGAAATAGATACGGTCGCAGGAAATTCGACGCGATTTCCAATAATGAAGACACACTAGGTGAATTTCGCTTGAATCCCGTCAAATGTATGATAAAGTGCGATTCGCACGGCCCGATCTTCGCGTAATTCGAACATTTTCGAACGCTAATACCCGCGAACGACTATTTCGGGATTATCGACGATACTCCTTAGATGCCATGAAACACCAGGCCATTAAAACTCGGCGAGGCCATTAAAATTTATAAACGGGCATAAATATCTTCGAATACACGACACCGTGCAGCGCATTTTGTTGCTCACTCGGATTAATTATTGACCGGGCCCAGCTGGCTCTTCGATAGTTTCCAGCTGGTTATTCGTTTTTTACAATGGCGGGTCGTTTATGTAAACTTTGAGCAAGAACGATATCGATATACATATATATCTATACATGTATCTATAGCGGCGAGACCGACGCGAGTTGTTTCCAAAGACCATAATGCCTTTTCCACGACGCGGTTTATCGGATACATAAACTGAATTGTGCCGGGTAACCACAATATATTGCACGTTATGACGCATCTTGTAAATCCGTAGTGCGACAATATGCGCGGGCAAACCCCTAAAATTTAATAAAAGAGATACCTTATGGCGCCTTTATGGCATAGGACATTCACAGGCTCGTTTGCAGGACATTTACGGAACAATTGCTTGTTTTACTTTTATTGGGAGTGTAGAGTAATTTATAACAATAAACAATTATAAACAACATTTCATTATGCTAATATCTTATTTCTTATGTTAAATTTTACTATGCTGCCGCACCAACTGCGGACTATCAAGACGCCCAAGTTTAAATGCTATAGTCTTGTGTAAAATTACTATGTCCATAGCATTTAGTGATATGTCCATAGCATTTAGTGATACGATCATAGCATTATTATAGCATTGAATGCTATGATCGTAGCATTAAATGTTATGGACATATCACTAAATGCTATGGACATAGTAATTTTACACAAGACTATAGCATTTAAACTTGGGCGTCTTGATGGTCCGCAGTTGGTGCGGCAGCATAATAAAATTTACCATAAAATTTTCTCCGTGTGATCACGTTTAAATACATGAAAGTCCGTTGCGACGTTTCACGCAGTGAATAGAATATATCGTAGAAGCTTACTGTAGCTTAAATATGGAAATAAATATAATTGAGTATCGTGTCCATTGTCTTTCGGCTTATACTTTAAATGTCTCGTATTACGTCGAAATTGCGTTTCTATTTGCCAATAAACGTATTTTTAAACTTTACACGATGGTTTTGTTAAACAGAAAATTCACGAATGAACGACGACGACAATTTAAGCGCAATATTCGCTACACATCGACGGAATAATGCAGATTAATTCTTTTGTCTTGCCGCAGCAAGATCGCCGGCCCGGCAAAATTACCGAGCGGTTTCTGCCGCGCAAGAATGGTTTTATGACAATTAATAATACTAACAGCGAGAAAGAGAAAGACCTGTTGCTTGATAAATTTAGCCTATCTGCGTGAGACATTATCTCGAAAAACTAACTTCTACAGCATCGTATAAATTTCGTAGTTGACCCTGCCATCTGTGAGAAGTCGTTTTCTCCCCGTCTAGGATGGGATTAAGCGGTATCTCTCCCGTATCCCATTTCCGGCGCAGCCTTCGACCTATGTATAGGTCTTCTTGGATAGAATAAAAAGATACGCGAGAGAAGGCTCGAGTAAAAGCAACCATACATCGTGGTCGTTAGATGTAATTATTGTCGTATTTATTCTCTTTTATTTTTGTGCGAATTATATATCAAAGCATCTGTTGATTTTTTATTAGGACACACATACTACACATATAACATACGCACACATATAATATTACGCAACATCATGAACATTGTATCAAGTACTCACGGTAACGATAATTAATGTCGTTCAAAGAAATTGCACTTTCCTTTTTTCTACTTCCAAACTATCGTTCGGGACGAAACTGCAATAAAGGAGAAAGAGTATAGTTTCTTGGCGCGTTGTACGAGGTTAATGTTTCCGATGTCGTGATCATCTTGCTGGAACGTTTGTGGAACTGCATATTGCATGTGTTGCAGAAAGTGGTTCAACAAAAACTACATTAATGTATGATTTTACAGATACGTCTTTCTCGTGTCATCTTGAAAACTACAAGAATAATTTACGTTCTTTTTTTTGTCACGGAAATCTCGAGAGGAAAACTACCTGGGAAAGTACCTTAGCAGCAACTATGTCGCGATGAAATTGAAAATTAAAATTTATGATCGCATTAAACTGCATATAGCGACATGCCACGCAAGTGGCAACTCCCCGAAGTTTCACAACAATACAAGTAATTACACGAGCAACTAGTTTTCTTTCTTATCTTACAATTAGATGCGCTCGAATGTTCTCTCTCTCTCTCTCCCTCCCTCTCGAGTCCCGTGCGCATAATTTTCAAAGGGATATTTTTCTCCATAAACATGTGATGCACATATAAGAAAATCTCCGGCGATAAACTGCTAAATCCCGCAGGGTTGTCCCATTTTTCGCTATACATGACGTGTTGTGAATTAATCTCGGCCCCCCTTTTAACAAGATTATGGTCTTTTACGCTATCCAGAAGCGGCCGAGCGATGGTTTTTCTCTAACGGGAGAAACCGGGTTTTACCCGGTTAAAAGTGTTTTACGTTATTTTTCGTTGAAAAATTTTCGTGTCGCATATAAGTAAGCTCTTCTACAAATCACCCTAAAATACTACTTACGATACCGTACACCGTGGGAGCATAAATAAATCATTACGCTATTTTACAGAATATAAGAGCATATAAATTTTTACGATTTTCGTATAAAAAAGCGGACAAGGATTTTTGTGAGATTTATGAGGTAAGCCAAATTTGTGGAAAAAAAACATTAGACGCTCGAAAAATTCACAAATTTTCTATCGACCGAAGAATATCCTTTTTACGTGTAAAGTATAATAAATTTCGACCCTCGCCACTCGCTGACATTTTTATCTACTTTGTCGGCGGGCCCATCAAAATCCTCTTTAAAAGTAAAAAAATTTCATGCAATGGAAGCTTCAAAAGGTACAAAAGATACAAATCCAATCGCACAAGCGAATGTATCAATTTACGATCAATTTTGCAGTGATATTCATCTTCGATAAGAACAATCTACATATCGGGATGATTTTGCGTATAAAATCTATTCAACGGGCATCAGATAATCGATACATGGCGTGACTTGTTGCATCGAAATACTCGATTTCCGACAGACTTTCCGTCGCCAATCCACCGGACTTCCGTTCTTAATTAATTACGAAGCGGCTTAAGTCGGCTTAAAGTAAAATCTGAAATAGTTGGGAAACGGAGATTCGTTTTACTGCCGCGTCGTAACTCACTTTTCACTCACTTTCACGGGAAATATACAATAGAAAGCACCGAAGGAAGCAACTTCGTCGACGACGGTTGATATCGAACGACACTTATCGTGTTAGTAATGATCGTCTTGTGACGTGATGAAAAATATAAAGTCTACGGTAGAACTATCGGTAAGAATTAACCGCCCACTATATTACGCGAATAGTAATCTCTGTGACACGGATATAGCACAATAAACATTCCAGTTGATACGTAGTTTATAGATAGTAGATCGATAATCATTCGGCTTTACTGTGTTTACATGCCATCAGCTATCTGCAATTGATATCGTAAAGACGTAGAGCGACAGCATGAGCGGGAATAAAAATAACTGGCCCATAAAGAAACGCTCTATACTCCGTCACGTAAATAACCGCTGCATATTAATAGCTTTTAATTGTGCGATTAACGACGATAATTTTGTACCGTTATCCTGCAACGTAGCGCGTGCAGGAGGGCGCGTTACAAGAGAGCGATATATTAAAACGAGACATATACGGCGTATCTTACTTTCTGCCTGCCGACATTCAAAGAAACGCGGCGAGGGGAAATATTTGCGAACGCGGGAGGAATCTTCCACGAGTTGAATTCTCGCAATGGCGATATAACCGTTCGCCCCTTTTGTGATGCAACTCATGAATGCCCATTTTGACCCGGCGAGGAATCTGCCTGCGGTACACATACATCCAGCGCAATATCGTCGTGGCGGTATTCTTTTCTGCGGCCCGTGACAGCTCGCTTAACCGGAAGGAAGCCGATAGGAAGCTAGCAGCACGTGAAACGATGGAGCTAGATTCTCGAGTGTAAAATATAAAAAGGGCACGGGTGATAAACGCACGTGCCGCTTGATATACGATCGTAAATAGCGAGCCACGATCGTTGTTAGAATCTTGAAATCCGAGATAATTCATCTTAACAAAGTAAAGTGTCACGCGATATTTTAAATCACGACAGTTACGTCTCATGTCATTTTTATGACGTTTGTCGACACGCAGGGTTAACATTGTAACACTTTTCAATTGAAGAAAGGTTAAAGGTTCAGAATACATTATTCTATAAGCTGGTATTTCTTGATTTAATATATATTAAAATGACAGTCGGTCGAATAAATTTTACATTACGATACATCACTTAAATCGACGATTTACGATGATATTGCTTTTTGTCAATTATTAGGAAAAATTAACGTAAAATTTTAACGTAAAATTCAAGGTTTATTTAACTTACGCGTCTTTTTGTTTCAACGCCCTGTATAATGCACGCGAAATTAGGTTAACGACTTTCGAGATTGCACGATCATTTCGGGTAGCTTTAAGCGACACGTTTTCCCATTATTACGGAATAGTAATTTCATTGCCATCATAAAAAGCAGTATCTTGTCCGTGCTGTACTGTCTGGGGTAAATCGTGACGGAAAGACGCGTATAAAAAGAAATATCGATAGCTGCGCGAAATCTAAAAATAACGGCAATAAAGAATTGACTTGTCGACAGTTTATGAGGATCCAGGATCTAGATACGATCGATCGGTAGGTTTTCAGGTCGTGATGGTTATTTTGAATATTGCTACCGATACGTGAATGTAACTCGCAGCAGGACACTGGGTAGAATTACGCTAGATCAATAAGATGACGTGTAAATGAAGCATTTCTCTTAAATCCTTTATTTCATAAATTATACGGTCAATCGATTTTTAGCACGCGATATAATATTTAAGTGTTCACGTATATTTGACAGAATTTTGATCTATTTCACAGCCCGGCGGAGTCTCGCCTCGTCGCTAGTTTAGATTGAGGCCAACGAGGCGCAATTAGACAGAAATCTTGATAGCGGCACACACTTATAGTCAACCTATGATGATTATAATTCAATTAAATTTTAATAATATAATTTTAGGCTACATAAAATATTTATCTTTTTATCTCGTGGATATGAAGCAAATGCCTCGACGTATTTCTAACTATGTTATCTTGATACACGGTTGATAATGTTTATCAAGATAATGCAAACACCATGGGAGCTGTTGACTTGATACTCGGTGTTGACTTGGTATTCGATATCCCTTGTACCAAGCCGCACGGGTTGGCTTTTGCTATTTTGCAGATAACAACGGCGGCATGAACGTACGAGACTGGTTACAAAGTGCCATTTGCAGAGAGTTGCGCGATCCGGAGCGTTCTATCAAGATTGCATCTCAACGACTTCCAAACTTTGTGTACGCAGTGTAGCCTGTAGAACGCGAAGACAGACACTTGATACATGTAGACGTAAAAGTGAACAAGAAATCGTAGGACATAGTTAGACTACGTGTGAAATGTGAGAATTCGAAACGAGCCAGCATGGAGATCATCACGAAACGCGACGCAACGACCAAAAACTCGATGGCCTCCGTGAGGTTCGCCAAGCTGCAATTCATGTTCCTTCTTGGTCCACAAGGGGGGATGTGACTTAATTTGGGAGCGAGCCTCGACGATGAATCGCCTCAGGGATCGTCAAATAGAAACATAGGCGCATAACAAACAAACAAAAATTAAGAGGATTACTATAAAAAGTACTTGCGACGCGTAGTGCGACTAGATAAGGCTGAAATATGGATTCGACGAAATTGGGCGGTCCAGCACCGACCAGTCCGAGGACTCATTCGCCAGTCCTGCCAAGCTACCCCGCGCCCGGCGACGGTAATATCGATTACATCATAGGCGACTACATGGAGAGACTAGGCACGAGACTGAACATTCTTGAAACCGAGTTGAAGTATGCGTGGAGGGCACTGGATCTTCTCAGCCAGGAGTACATAAAAATGTGGGAAAGATTAGAGAAGCTGGAGGGCCTGCTGTACGAGCAGCAGAACGTTATCAGCCAGCTGATTGAGTTTTATACCAGCGGCGGCGCTCACGATAACGTGAGTATCGTCGAGGAGACTTTGGCCAACCAGCAAGGCTCGGTAGGTGAGCTAGACGCGATAGCGGAGAGTCTGGGTGCTGCGATAAGCATCGAGGAGACCACTGTGCTACGGGAGAAACTGGCACAACAGGAGCTGGCAAGAATCGGGCTCACGCAGGACAGTACAACGGCCGCGGCTGTGGTCACCGACATGCACAGGAATGTCAGGAATTTGGACACTTTGGAGACCCTTGAGGAAGAGGGCAACATTCCCGACGAGGCATTTTACAGAAGCCTGAATAACGCCTATAGGGAAGATTTGATTTGTGGCGACACGTCGAGACCGACGTCGCAGCTGGGTATGATCTGGGAGGAGGCCGAAGACGAGGACATAAACGGCAAGAAGGAGATCGAGTCCAGCATCTTCGACAAGACTATACCGAAGGAAAAGGAACTGGAAGAACTGTCCAACCAACCGACCAAGGAGGAAGTGCAAACCTCCATAATGAAGAAGGAGGATGAGGCGGACGAGGATGAGGGCGAGGTGTTCAGCGCGGCCGATTACAAGAGCTACAGAGGGAACACGCCGTGCGTCAGCGAGCAAGATCTCGCTCAACTCTCGAGACTCAGCTCCCTCGATCAGGTGGCGTTAGAAAAATTGCACGAAATAGATAGGCTAACCAGCAAGTTGCAAAAGGATTCGCAAAATCTAATTGAATTGCAATCGAGACTGATAGACTCGCCGAAGCGAAACCAATATGCGTCCGAGGCCGAAGCGAAACTGGCCGAGGAGGCGAGTAGCATAGATGAACAACTGAGGAAGATCTACGCGGAGACCGACGTGGACAGCTGGACCTTCTCCAAAAGTCCCAGCTCCACCGGCAGATCGATCTCCAGAGTCAGTACTGACAGCGGATTGGCCACCGATGGCGACTTTACAACGAGATCTATATCGCCAAGACTGACTTCTACGTCCAGGAGTAATTTAGACTCTATTTCGACTACTTATACCCCGCCTAGATTAGGATATACATCGGCCATACTAGAAAAGAGCCCGGAGCCCGTGATGTTGCCGATCGATGTCGGTAGCTTCGCAAAGGGATACGCAGAAAACAAGGAGCTGACAGATCTGATGGCCGAAAGTTTCGCGACCGCCGTCACCTGCGCCTCGCCCAACATTTACAGTACGACCACCGACAAGGTATCGTCACCCACTTTGTCGGCCGGCAGCGTACACAGCGTTCACAGCGTCCAGGGTCTCCGCACCAGACAGGACGGTTACTTTGGCAGCGCAGCCCGACTCAATCTCGAATTCCAGGAAAGTCGTACACCACCTAGTCCATCGCCTAGCTCACCACCTCCACCAGCACCGCGAGACACCACCGAGTCCTTCCTCATGTCCGGCGCAGAACAAAGAGAATCGGATGCGAAGGAGTCTCAGAGCCCGAGTTTCTTGCGAAACGCGGAAAAATTAGTCTCCATGGAGCAAGGTCGTCTCAGCCCCCGCACTCCTCATTCGCCCAAATCACCACGAATTTCACCGAAACATGCGGGTAAATCTGGCAGTGCCGCTAACATAGTCACAGCTAAATCCGATTCCGGTCTGTCCTCTATGAGCGGTTGGAGCAGCTTAGACAAGTCACCGTGTTCCCCGAAGAGCTCCATCGCTAAGATGCTGACCTCTTATTCGGTGGATCACACCCGCGCGAGTAGTCTCATATCTAGCACGCAGCCCGCCAGAACATCCAGCTCGATACCACCGCTTCCAGAAACGACTACTACCACCGCTATCACGCAGGAACCACTCTATGACACTCCCGAGGGTAGAGACGCCTTCGCGAGCGCCATGTCGACTACGTCCGGTCATCCCTACACAACGACGATGAATCACTTGTCGGCATATACGACCGCCAGCAAATCGCCAGCGAAAGAAGACTATACTTTTGTGCCACCGCCAGCTCCAGGTGTAACTACTACCTGTCAGAGTCCCAAGAAGCGCAGTCGTCAGCAGAGCCTTCAACATTATGGCTCGACGTCCTCCGATACGAGCGCGGATTATGTCTACAGATCGGAGCAACCGGCTATTTACTCCGTGGCCGGTAGTAATCGACAGCAGGCCATTACGAGCGTCTATACCAGCGGTGCTGGGAGCTACGGGCCCAAGACTACCACCTCGGCTTACTACCCCGCCGAGTCGATGGATCAATATACCAACTATCAGGATTACGCCGCGCTTCAGTACGCGGAAACAACGGGCACTATGATGTCCCATGGAAAGAAACCGATACGCGGAAACTCTTTCACAGACGGCATGACGAACCACGAAGGATACAAGGCGGCGATGTATCGCACGATGTTTCCCACCGGCAACATCACGGACGCTCTCTCGTACTATCCGACCAGCGCGACTAATCTGCCACGTACGGAGACAAACGAGAGCTCGTCGTGGTTAAACTCGATGGAGGAACAGATACCGCACGATTCGACATCTTCCAGCATCAGATCCTTGACTTCCGACGGGAGCTACGCTCAAAGTCCGTACACGGACCGGAGGTATCCTCAGCCACCGGCCTATCAAGCGCATGCGGCGTATCAGCAGCATCATATTTACGCAAATCAGAATTATCCTCAAGCCTATCAACAGCAGTATCAGCCGTACAGCCAGCGACTGAGCAGTGCCGAGAGCGCGCAACTCGCGGACGGTTATCAGAGACAGTGGCAAAGGGAGCATCAATACATTCAGGATCACGAGGGCGGAAGAATGGAACAACAACAGACGCAGCAGGGCGAGTATTATGACGCCTCCAGTGTGATAGTCTCGCAATCCGGATACATCAGTATCGCCTCGAATTTGAAAGATCACGAGGTAGATACTAGCAAGCTGTCGAAGAAGGTCAGGAGAGGCTCTTCGCTGAAGAACGCGATGAGCTCCATGAGCAACTGGCTGCCTGATTTGCATCTCACTAAACGTCACAGAAGTCAATCGTTGCCAGGTGGTGTCAGAAGAGAAGATCTGGACGTGCCGCAAGACGGTCAGCAGCCAAGATTGCCTGCTGAAATGATGGGCCGAGGTCGGGGCAGAGCTCAGACCACTAGAAAAAAGAAAAAACATACGTTGGTTTCCACGGTCTCCGGCATTCTCCAGAAGGCCAAACGTCGCAGTCATCAGTCCGCATCTCTGTCCGATCCGGAACAGTCCGAGACGGAATGGAGCAGTGGTCGGCAAAGCGGTCTCTCGGAGGATGAAGACAGCGTCATATCTGACATCGTTCAAGAACCGCCTTTCTTCGCCAAAGTAAAGAGTGCGAGCACGAAAAGGAAGCAGCCGCCTCCGCAGCAGATAATGACGCAACAGCAGCAGCAGCAGCAAGCACAGATTCAAGCGCAACAAAAGGAATATATGCAACAGCAGCAAGCACAGCTACAACATCAAGCGCAACTGCAACAGCAAGCACAGCTACAACAGCAAGCACAGCTACAACAGGCGCTTCAGCAGCAGCAGCAAGCGCTTCAACAGCAGATTCAACAGCATCAGGAGCAATTGCACCAACAGGCTCTTCAAGATACGTGGGCTAAAGAGATCAAAGAAAAGGATCAAAGAAAGAACGAGGTTAACGAGCATGACGCGAACGACCAGGCAGCTTTGCTCGAGGAAGAAGCTTCGGGAAAAAGTACTGGCTCGGGATCCGGCGGATCGTCGATCTTCCAAACCGTCGGCGATATTAAGAGATCAACAGGCAGTTCGGATGAGGCCCCCAATGAGAAGGCGCCAAAACTGCCTCCAGTTACTTTGATCGGTGGCTCGAGCATGGAATTTGCTGTGTCACGAGCGCTCGGCAAGTATCGCCAACGACAATCTTCGACAGTATCCGATGACCAATCGGTGCCTGACGAGAACAACGAAAAGAAGCCGGGCGAGGAGGGCCCGGCGCAGACTTTGGAAACGAGTTTCGAGTATCCGGAAGATATGTCGGAAAAGAGTGAGAAGAGCGAGAAGTCTGGCAGTGCAAAACTACCGGAACTGGTTACCAGTCTGTCGGAAGAGGCCCCACCGTCGGAGGGTAGCCCATCGGCGTCCATAAGAGGTTACAATACCATGGGAGGAACTCGATTTTTACCGCGCCATCAACAATCTCTAGAGATTCCTTGGACCGGGCGATCGGGTGAACCTGACGAGGATAATCGCAGCACTCATTCGTACAGAAGCACGTCAAGAGTGTCATCAAGACGGCAAAGCACCGAGGACTCTATCGATTCCGAAGACGAATGGTATTGTTACGAATTAAGAAAACTCGAAGAGATGGAAAGACAGTCCGAGATGGAAATGACAGAAGCACTGATCGAGGAACCCGAAGACGAGGTTTACCAACCAGACGAAACGGTAAAAGAAAAGATGTCGTTCGTGCTGAAGGAGCTTAAGCTCAAAGCCGTCACGAAACCGAAAGATCAGAGAAAGGAGGGTAGAGAAGAATCACGAAGCAGGATGAACGGTACGGTCATTAAGGAACATCGCTTCGAAGAGAACGACAGCAGGTATCGCGACGAGAAGCCTATACCTAAACGGAAGTCCGCGGAAAGTGTGGAAGCTGTGTTCGCCAGAGTGACCGATTACCATACGTGGGCGCACGAGCTAGAAGCCAAAAAGGAGAAGCCTCCACCACCACCACCCACGGAGGAGGGTTCCTCCGGCGAAACATCCGGTCCAGACAGCCCCGGACAATCGATGGACGAGGAAGAAGAAGAGGAGCTGCCGAAGGATCTCGAAGAGCAACAATCGCGACGAAGCTCCAACGGTTCGACGCTACGTCACAGCGAGAAGATGCCGCAGGGCTCGGATTCCTTGTCCCGCGAAGGTAGCGTAAGTGTACCACCTAGCGAAGTGTCGGTCAGCATCCCGGGAGCTTGGGATTCTGAAAGCACTGTCCTTGAAGGCCTCGAGCGCGATGGAGCCGGTAGCGCCGAGACAGCTACCACGGCGACCTTGAGTCTACCGAAGATCAAGATCGACTCCTCGTCCTGCGGAAGCTCGGACACGACATTGAAGGAGGGCCAGGTGAGTCCTGGCCCACCCGGGTCCAAGTGGAAGCTGCTCAAGGCCTTGAAGGAACGTAAGGCCGAGGAGAAGCTCAAGGAGGTCGAAGAGGCCTCTAAGGAGAACGCTATCTCTCAGGGACCCACGGCAGTGAGTATCATGATCAAGTGAGGACACGAAAACTTCTGTAAAGCGTACTCGAGATTCGGAGGTTGGGTAAAATAGTGAAATCGTTTTTATCACGTTTCGCGCATTTTTGCGATCGGCTACACATATGATATTCTAACGCTTTTTATTGGACATCTCGATACGGATATTCAATTATTGTCAAGTCCGAATTCGATTTATCTCAAACGAGACGGTATTATACTCGAGCATGCCGGAAAAGGGGCCCTTTATCTCTTCACCATCGTCAGCGCTTTAGCACCTTGATCGTTTTGGCAGCTGACGTAAAATTCTCGACGATTGATTTCCCGCGTGCCTCGAATTCATTATGCGGCACGGTATAGATCTCTCGAATATCGAGTACGCGGGTACGTCGACTGACTGTAAAATGGGTGAGGTATTGCGAATTTAACAATATTTGGCGTTAAAGTTAAGACCGTGTCACCAAGTGACACGTATACTCAATCAACGTTGCGCGCGACACCGAAAGGAAGTCAAGCTTTGCCGTCAAAGAGAGCGACGACAATTTTGCTCGCTCTCTTTCACTAAGGTTGTTAACGGAGACCGAGAACCTCTGAGATGGTTGTGTGAGATACATGTTACAAACGGTACTAGTCAATTTAAGTGTAACACCACTAACGCTTGATCAAGCAATATTTCTAAGGGGCGAGGAAACGCCGCTTCGGTAGCGATTGATTTATTGTGATCGACGATGATTGATCTTGAGATCCCACGCGGGCGACGCGTGGCCGTCGGAAAGCTCATTTAATAAGCATTTTAGACGTAATTTAGATGGTGCTTTATTCGTAGATACGCTTTAAGCTAGTAACTATTATCGTTAGAAACTACCGCTGTGTCTGAGCGACGCGGACAAGTGTTGTGAAAATATGCCTGCGAAAAGAAAAATGCGATATAATTGTTCAGACAAGTATTTCGCGTCGTCAAATTATTCTTATCTTATTTTTATCGTTCACCTAGTCCTTATCATTCTTTAATTTTTCTCGCATGTCTTATTGTCAAAAGTTGTTAAAAATTGCGTCAAGTACAAGCGCCATTGTTCGCGTCGAATGTTACCTGAGAATCGCAGAGGGCATAATGATAAGTCACATTATAGCGATAAGAACGTACGTCGCGCAGACACTGCGGAGAAAATCGTAAAACATCGAAATCCATCGCTCCCGTAAACGCCTGTAAACATACCGGAAATACTCGCGAACACGCGAGCCGTTCATCATGCTATATAAGAGAGAGAGAAGAAAACGACCCGGAGTGGAAATTGCGCCGGCGAATGGACCGGCGTTTCTGCGATCTAGGTACAAAGAGCACGCTGCGATAAAAGGCGCATGATACGTGCCTAGAAGTAGTGACGCCGCAAGAATTCGCGAGAAACACAAAGGGTTTTTAAAAGCGCGGTTATTAGCGCGACGAATCGTTCGAGACGAGTGAGAGAAACGCGCGAGAGATCCAGCAGCGGTGACTATAGTCGCTGCTAAATGGACATTTCTCGCACGGTTTCTTGACGCGTGGACAATAAACACGCGGTATATACGGAAGATCATTCCTTTCGCGATATTCATAGTCGAATCTTATACTCGGGATTGTCCCACGTGTGCGATCTTCTCGAAATCCTATACGTATAGATTTACGATTCGCAAGACGTAAGACGATCGCGGGCTTTAACTCGCGACTATAAATCCGTATAGCATTTTAAGGTCGCGCTCGATACGCGGCCTTGGGTATAAGATCAAACTGCGAATACCGAATTCTTAGTTCCTGACATCATAGAATATTGCATCCATATATCCGCCACTGTTACACTCACACATCTTCCTATATCACCCACGCGAAATCGAAGTATGTAGAGTCAATTTTGCAACGTTTCCGATCAACAAGGACGATTTGCCCGAGGCAATTTTTACCTAACGTCGCGTTTTCTTTTTTTTTACGTAAACGACGGATCAAGTTAAGTAGATCGCGCTATCGATCGCGATCGATAACGATAACCGGTTGACAGACGCCTTGGGTATCCGTCGTACAATACAGGGACTTCCAAAATCGACGACGCTTATCGTTGCCCCCGATATTAATGCCATTCAGGGCGACGCACATATGTTTAGTGCAACGATATATTCCGCGGGGCGATACATCCCATTCAATCGCGCGTGAATGCAGAAAAATCGATACCTCGCGTACCTCGTAACTCGCGCCGTCGTGCGAGAGACAGTATTACGCCGACAATATCTCCGCAGCTTGTACTTCTTACCTTTTCTACACGTTCCATCGCGAAGCGAGCCAACGACGGGGGTTCGTCTCCCGTGGATTTCCTTCCGAGACAGGAGCGTATCCTGAAAAAAGTAAAATAAAATTCGACGAGTCCCTCCGATGATCTTTATGCCGACCGCAGCAGATATGTACATCCGTGAAAGAACGTGACGCGAAAAACGCGCGTGTTACGCCAGAGAAAAAATTCGCCGTGTATATACGGTGCGTGCGCAAAATTTTTTTAACTGTCGTCAGTACGTCGCGGTGCAGCTACGATAAGGTGGAAAACGACAAGACTAATGATCGTTGTTGTACGTCGTGTAGTAATAATTATTATACATTATACCATGGTAGAGTAATAAAACTATATCGTGACGGTAACGTGTCGTTTGTATACACCGAACGACCTGTATTGACTTAACAACCTGACTTCGAAATTTGTGTTGTTACACGTCAAGTCGCGATAGTAAATGATAAATAATTTAAATAATAAAACAGCGTTATTTTAATGGAAATTTGCATTTAATTTCTATTAAATCTCGGAACACACGAATTTATATCTCGATAATTAAGTGGAAGGTGCATACAAACGACAGGGAGGTATTATTACAACCGATTGATAGCTTGCAGAAATAAGCATTTTTCTTGTTCTTGTTAACAGACATGCATATACTACTCCGTACGATCGACCGCATTGCGTACACCGACAGTTGTTCGACTTGCATAGAAACTGTTTCGCAATAATCGAGTGAATGAACTACGTTGGTACGCGTGCGAGAGAGACACACACACACACCACACACATACATCCACGTCCGATACATATGCTTCCGTATCTAAAGACTTGCAGACGTATAGTACTGTACTTAAGCTAGGGAATATTATCCTGCGTAATTCTCGATGTGTTGTGTTAGAATTAGGTGACTGGGGCAGTACCTGGTGTTCGAAGAAAATGTGTAGAGACGCTGGTTTCGATACTGACACATTTATCGGACAAGAATAAGAGGAATTATTAAGAAAAGAGTATCGAGAGAAGAACGAAAATGCAAAATTTATACGAAAGCGTATGTAAAGATGTATATCGCGAGCATTGTCAAAGTTGCCAGCGACGTTCGTAAAATTCACATAGAGTTCGGGGTTACTAAAAACTTTTGCTAAACTACGAAGAATTATTTTGGGATACTTTATGTAACAAAGTTTTACCTTTAGAGAAACCACAAATTTTGCACATTATTTCTTAAAGCGGATAGCATTGAGAAGGTACCGAAACCGGCGTCGCCGGTGCAAGAGTCAATAATACTGAAAAATAATAAGATTGTGGAAGTGCTGTCCTAAGAGAGAATGAGGAAACGAAAAAGGCGCATTAGGAACGGAGGAATACCTCTGAGATAATCCGTCATGGATGCATAAGTGATAAGAAACTGGCAACTCTTTCGAAATTATATGTCGTTGAGCCTTGCACGCTGATTATGATAAGAATAAAGGGGCAAGCAAACTCCACAATTGCATCAAAAATTTCACTTTCGCTCATCTTAATAGGTGCCCTCTTTGAGAAAGAATATAAATATAATATAAATATAAATATATATTATTTATATAAATATATATAAATTTATATTTATATATAATTATTATATATATTATTATATATATTATTATATAAATTTATACTTATATATATAAATATATATAATCTAAATATAAAATTATTTAAAAATTTCTCGAATCCATCTTTTATACATAGGAAAGAGTGGAAAACAATAGTTCCAAGTCCTTCCGTAAGCGAGTCGTTGAAGGAAAAATTTCATATTCGCATTTAGTAATTGCATTTACTTCCTGTGCATGTGGAGACCAATTATAATTAACTCGCTGCGTAGCGAAAAACACACACACTTTCTTTCTCTTTCTGCTCTTCCTTCCATAAAGAAATTATAATTTTTTCACATGTTAATTCATTTACAATTCACGGTCCGATTATTTCGCCGCCGGTGGATGAACATTTATAACGAGGCGGTAAAACCAAACGCAAATCCTACCATTTACTGGCAGAAATTGAAGGAAAAGTGTCGCTTGTTAATTACAACATGTTAAGAAAACGATAAGTTTGACATAAAACCGAGTTTTATGTAAAAACGGTGCGCTCTTCTTTCACTACTTCGTTAAAGATATAGCGCGGATACTTACACGAAGAGATTTGAAAGAGAGCTTAAATGGCTTGCTGCAATTCGCCAAATTTACGTCGCGAAAAAATATTGCAAAAAATCTCACTTGTTTGTACAGCATTATCTACATTTAACACACCGCAAGGACAAGGCGTTGTTTCGCACAACGCGCGTCCATTATGCAGCTTCCTTAATCATCCTAGCTTCTATCAACAACTAGCAAGGATGTCAGGCTGCTAATTAATGGCTACTCCTGACGCACGCATATTAGCAAGTTGTTTCGCGGGCATTGCGTTTGTACGGGTCATCACAAAATAACGTAATGCTTTACAACGTTAAAGAGCATTGTGGTTGAAAGCTGTCCCTATTCTTCTCACGCCTATTTAAAATTCTTTCTCGTAAATCCGCCATTTAACTCGCCACAAGCTCTAATTTTATTTAATCAAAGAGTCGATTGCGAGACAAACGAGAGATCCCTCCCTTCTTTGTACAGTTTTGCAAATTTCCATTCCTTACTTTCCCGGCGTTCGCCGCATAAGTCACTCGTTGAAAACTGTCGGC